GCCTGTACTGCAAAGGGCCCACCCTCCAAAACACCAGTGTACCAGCTAGCGTTGTTGTGAGAGGCTGAGTTCAGCTTCAGTGACTTGGTTTTGGAGATTCATTTGCCCATTTCATGATGGGTGATTTACAAGAACACCTTCTCACACCATGCTGAGTGTTCAGCAGTTTTTAACTGAAAACCGCATGACCCTTGTGCCCCACCCTCCCTATTCACTTGATCTCATCCTGAGTTACTTTTTTTTTTCTTCTGGATGAAAAAAGTCCTCAAAGGAAAACGTTTTGCCGATGTGAAAGAGGTAAAACAAAAAATGGCAGAAGCACTAAAATGCGTCAAAATTGATGAGTTCAAAAACTGTTTTGAGCAGTGGAAAAGCATCTCAATAGGTGTATTGCATCAAAGGAAGAGTATTTTGAAGGTGACTGAAGTTTAAACATGTAAGAATACACAATTTTTTATAAACAAATTCTGGGGTTTTTTGGGTCCCCTCTCGTATGTGAGAGGAGATGCCAGGAGGTGGGGTAGATATGATGGTGGAGGCTGAAGAAATTCTGAGTGCTTCCATTTTGCAGTGAAGTAGGAAGCAAGGTTATCCAAGGTGAGGCTGACAGAGGAGCCAGCTGTAGGTTTGAGGAGGAAGGGAGGGTGTGAAACAGTTGCCTAAGTGAGCTCTAAGTGTCTAGGGCAAACCAAGTGGATCCCTGGCCAGCAATGAGAGCATATCCAAGGTTCAGAAAAAGACCAAGCAGGCAAGATTTTTCGGCTTGTGACCTTTTTTTGTGTGTGTTTTTTTGAGTCAGAGTCTCACTCTGTCGCCCAGGCTGCAGTGCAGTGAGATGCTCATGGCCACCACAGCCTCGACCTGCTGGGCTCAGGCAATTCTTCCATCTCAGCCTTCCAAGTAGCTGTAACCACAGGCATGCGCCACCACATCTGGCTAATTTTTTATTTTATATTTTTTGATTTATTGTCAAGACAAGGTCACACGAAGTTGCCCAGGCTGGTCTAGAACCCCTGGCTCAGGCAGTTCTCTCACCTCCACCTCCCAAAGTACTGGGTTACAGATGTGCACCACCGTGCCTGGTTGCTTGTGACCTTTTAAACAAAAGTGACAAGTTACGTTCATGGCTCTGCTTCTTAAATTCATTTTCCTCAAGTGTTTTTGGACTATTTATGGATAAAAAGCTTTACTTCAAATTTGTTTAAATTTAATTTCTTGTTATATTTATATATTTTTTTCCACCTTCTTCTTTATATGGAATATAAGAGAATAATGTCCAGCCAGGTGCAGCGGCTCACGCCTATAATTCCAGCACTTTAGGAGGCAGAGGCCAGAGGACTGTCTGAGCCCAGGGGTTCAAGACCAGCCTGGGTAACTTGGCAAGATCTTTCTCCTACAATAAATAAAAAAATTAGCTGGGTATGGTGGCATACACCTGTAGTTCCAGCTACTTGGAAGGCTAAGATGGAAGGATTGCCTGAACCTAGCAATTCAAGGCTGTGGTAGCCATGAGTGTGCCACTGCACTGCAGTGTGGGTGACAGAGTGAGACTCTAACTCAAAAATGAATATAAATTAATTTTTTTTTAATTTGTAGTCTCACTTTGTTGCCCAGGCTGTATTGCAGTGGCACACTCGTAGCCGCCGCAGTCTCAACATGCTGGGCTCAGTCTCAACATTCTGCCTCAGCCTTCCAAGTAGCTGGAACTACAGGCATGTGTCACCACGCCCAGCTAATTTTTTTGATTTATTGTAGAGACGAGGTCTCACCAAGTTGCCCAGGCTGGTCTCGAACCCGTGGGCACAAATAATCCTCTCTCCTCAGCCTCCCAAAGTGCTGGGATTACAGCTTTGAGACACCGCACCTGGCCTAAAAATTAAAGATTAAAAATTTTTAAAATATGTCCAAAAAAACCCTCTACTAAGAGCACTCCCTTGTTTATGGGCATAACTTTAACTGGTTTCAATGAAAACTAAATTATTCAAAGATCTATTATTCAATTATTCAAATGTTCATTTCTGATATTTTCAGCATACCTGATTGATAAAGTCAAAATCAAAGGCTATTATGCATTCAAACTGACTGAAGAAAAGTCTAAACCCAGATTTGGATTCTTCACATCTGACCTGAAAGCTAAATCCTCAGTACAGTTTTACAACAAACTGATCAGCAGCAACGGCTTCCCTTCCGAGAACAGCGGTCCTAGATGTGGTCAGATCCCAGCACACACGGAGTGCGCAATCTGCTTGTTCCTTGCACAGAAGAAGCCACTGATCTTCCTGACTTGTTGCTTCTTCTCCACTTTGGTTCTCCTTCTGTCAATTACCATTTTTCATCAGCAAAAGAGAAGAAAATTTTGGAAAACAAAGAACTTACAACACATACCTTTAAAGAAAGGCCATGAGAGAGTTCTTAGTTAAACTGATCTTATTTATGTCTGCATGATAGTTTAAAAATTCATTCCAGCTGGGCGCAGTGGCTCACGCCTACAATCCCAGCACCTTGGGAGGCAGAGGCAAGAGGACTGCCTGAGTCCAGGAGTTCGAGACCAGCCTGGGCAGCTTGCGAGACCGTATCTCTGCAATAAATCAAAAAATTAGCCAGGTGGGATGGCATGCGCCTGTAGTTCCAGATCCTTGGAAGGCTGGCCTGAGCCCTGCAGGTCAAGATTGTGGTGGCCATGGGCGTGTCACTGCACTCTAGTCTGGGTGACAGAGTGAGACTCTGACTCAAAAATAAAAACAAATAAAAATACATTCCAGGCAGGGCTCGGTGGCTCAGCTTGTAATCCCAGCATGTTGGGAGGCCAAGGCAAGTGTATTACCTGAGCCCATGAGTTTGAGACCAGTCTGGGCAACTTGGCGAGACCTCGTCTCTACAATAAATCAGAAAATTAGCTGGATGTGGTAGCATGTGCCTGTACTTCTGGCTACTTGAAAAACTGAGATGGAAGGATCGCTGGAGCCCAGCAGATTGATGCTGGGGTGGCTGTGAGTGTGTCACTGCACTCCAGCCTGGGGAACGGAGTGAGACTCCAACTCCAAAAAATAAAAAATAAAAAAAAAAATCATTCTAGTTCCATGGATTGGTAATTTACAGGAGATATACCTATACTGTAGAAAGACAGCAATTTGAGATACTGCTGTAACCAAGATGATGGCAGTCAGCATCTCTGCTATTTCATTGAATTTTCCCTCAGATATTGACGTCAGTAAACCCAGTTCTTGGATCTACAGGTGAAGGCTTCACCGAGCTGTCTCATCAACTGTGAGGACTGCATGACACATGGTTTCTTGAAGTTTTATAAGCTATTTCCATCATTCTTCTCTGTCTTCTCTAACAATAGCTACTTAGGGTAAAATAAATTATTTTTTTCACTTGAAACTGTTAGACTCCATAGCAGAGATTTAAAATTCTTAAGTTGTATAGTGATTTGAGGGCAGGATGACCTTTAAAGAACTACTTGGCTGGTGTGGTGACTCCCTCCTGTCATCCCAGCACTCTGGGAGGCCAAGGTAGGAGGATTGCTTCAGGCCAGGAGTTCAAGAACAGCTTGGGCAACATAAAAAATTTAAAAATAAAAAGTAGTGTGGTGGCATGTGCCTGTAGTCCTAGCTACTTGGAAGCTGAGGCAAGACAATTGTTTGAGCCAAAGAGTTGGAGGCTTCAGTGAGCTATGAAAGTGCTACCGCACTCCAGCCTGGGTGATGGAGACTTCATCTCAAAAAATAATTATTAGAAAGCAAAAAAGAAAAAAGTTATTTTTTTTTAAAAAAACATTTATGCTGAATATGGTGTGACTCATGCCTGTGATCCCAGCATGTTGGGAGGCATAGGCAAGACTTCCTGAGCTCATGGGTTTCAGACCAGTCTGAGCAACATGGCAAGACCTCGTCTCTATAATAAATCAAAAAATCAGCCGGGCATGGTGGCGTGTGTCTGTGGCTCTAGCTACTTGGAAGGCTGAGGCAGAAGGATGACCTGGGCCTAGCAAGTTGAGGCTGTGGTGGCCATGATTGTGCCATTGCACTCCAGCCTAGGCAATAGAGGCTGACTAAAAAAAATAATAATAAAAGATAACATTTAGCAGGGCTCGGTGGCTCAGCCTGTAATCCCGCGCCTTTGGGAGACTAAGATGAATGGATTGCCTGAGCCTGCGGGTCGAGACCCGCCTGGGCAGCGAGACCTCATCTCTACAATAAATCAAAAAATCAGCCAGGCGTGGTAGCGCATGCCTGTAATTCCGGCTGCTTTGAAGGCTGAGGCGGAAGGATCGCTGGAGCCCAGCAGGT